AGAATATCAGTACTGGAGGATGAAGCTGAAGATATTGGACCATTCAAGCAAAGATTATGGAAAATCACAGGAATGGAATATGCAAGAGATATGGGACACCATGAAAAGACCAAATCTATGGATCATAAGAATAGAGGAACGAGAAGAATTTCAGGTTCATGGTGTTGACCAGATCTTAAACAGGATTGTAGAAAAGAATTTCCCAATATTAAGAGAAACTCTCCACGGCACATCGTAGTAAAAACACTACACGCACAAAACAAAGAGAAAATTCTGAAAGCTGCAAAAGAGAAACAACAAGTCACATATTAAGGAAAACCCATTAGGATCACAGCTGACTTTTCAATGCAAACTATGAAAGGCAGAAGAGCCTGGACCAAGGTATTTCCATTTCTTAATGACAATAGATGCCAGCCCAGAATACTATATCCAGCAAAAATGTCTATTATAGTTGAGGGGGAAAGAAAAATCTTCTATGACACGAATAGCCTGAAAGAATACATGTCCAGAAAACAACCCTTCAAAGAATACTTGAAGCAACACAGAGAGGAGAGAGAAACAACTATACCCTAGGGGCAATAAAAGAAAATAAACAAAGATGTAATCTAGGAAACACAAAATTACACAGCAATCAAAATGATGGCAACCAATACACACATTTCAATAATAACCTTAAATATCAATGGACTGATCTCCCCAGTCAAAAGACACAGGCTAAGAAAATGGATTAAGAAATAAAATCCATCTCTTTGCTGTTTGCAAGAAACCCATCTCATCTTCAAAGACAGGCACTACCTTAAGGTAAAAGGATGGAAAAGAATATTCCAAGCAAATGGCACTAAGAAACAAACAGGGGTTGCAACTCTAATATCTGACAAAATAAACTTCAAGGTAAAACTAATCATAAGAGATAAGGAGGGTCACTTCATTCTGATCAAAGGAGCAGTTAACCAAGAAGCTATTATAATCCTTAACATATATGCACCAAACTCTGCTGCACCCAAATTATTTCTTTCGATTATTCCACCCAAACACCAAAGAATATACTTTCTACTCAGCACCCCATGGAACTTTTTGACAAATTGACCACATAGTGGGCCACAAAACAAACCTCAACAAACACAAATATATTGAAATAATTCCATGCATTCTATTGGACCACAAAGCAATAAAGCTCAAAATCAACACTGGACAAAGCCCTAGTCACTACATGAACTTGTGGCGATTGAACAACACACTCCTAAACAATGAGTAGGTCAAAGGAGAGACTAAGAAAGAAATAAAAGAATTCCTGGAATTCAATGAAAAAGACAATACAACACCACACAACCTCTGGGACACAATAAAAGCAGTCCTAAGAAGGAAGTTTATAGCGTTAAGTGCCTACATTAAAAAATTAGAAGGAGACCAAATAAATGACCTAACACTGCAACTCAAGGCACTGGAAAGTCAAGAACAAATGAAACCCAAACCCAGAAGAAGAGAAGAAACAACAAAAATCAGAGCAGAAATTAATGAAATAGAAACAAAGAAGACAATATAAAGAATTACTGACTCTAATAGCTGGTTCTTTGAAAAAATAAACAAAATAGACAGACCCTTAGCCCAGTTAACCAAAAGAAAGAAAGAGCAAATCCAAATCGACAAAATCAGAGATCAAAGGGGAAACATCACAACAGACACCCAAAAGATCCAGATCATTAAAAGGGAATATTTTAAAAATCTACAAAGTCTAAAAGAAATAGATGGATATCTGAAATCATGGGACCCTCCAAAGTCAAATCAAGAAGACACTTTAAATCAAGACACTTTAAACAGACCCATAACATATAAGGAAATTGAAAGAGTAATACAAAACCTCCCAACTAAAGAAAGCCCAGGCCCAGATGTATTTACAGCAGAATTCTGCCAGACATTTAAAGAAGACCTCCAATCAATACTACTTAAATTGTTCAAAAAGATAGAAACAGAGGGAGAACTCCCAAATTCTTTCTATGAAGCCAACATCACTCTAATACCCAAACCATGTAAAGACAAAACCAGAAAAGAAAACTATAGACCCATATCCTTAATGAACATAGATGCAAAAGTTCTCAACAAAATACTTGCAACCTGCATATAGACACACATCAAAAAGATCATTCACTATGATCAAGTACGCTTTACCCCGGAGATGCAGGGATGGTTCAATATACACAAGTCAATAAACATCATTAATCATATAAATGGACTCAAAGACAAAAACCACATTGTCATCTCAATAGATGCAGAAAAGACTTTTGACAAAATTCAGCATGCATTTATGTTCAAAGTCCTAGAGGGAATTAGACTAGAAGGAACATACCTCAACATAATAAAAGCTATATGCAACAAACCCACAGCCAGCATCATTCTAAATGGAGAAAAACTGGAAGCATTCCCATTAAAATCAGGAACCAGGAAAAACTGGAAGCATTCCCATTGAAATCAGGAACCAGACAAGGCTGCCCACTATCCCCACTTCTCTTTAACATAGTACTTGAAACTCTTGCAAGAGCAATAAGATAAGAGCATGGAATTAAAGGAGTAATAATTGGAAAAGAAGAGCTCAAATTATCCCTTTTTGCAGATGATATGATATTATATCTAAGGGACAGCAAAAATTCCATGCGCAAACTCCTAGAACTGATCAACACTTTCAGTATAGTGGCAGGTTATAAAATCAATCTACAAAAATCAGTAGCCTTTCTATATACCAATAAGAATCAATTGGAGAAAGAATACAGGAAAATGGTCCCATTCACAATTACTGCCAAAAGATTAAAATATCTTGGAATAAATCTGACCAAAGACACCAAAGATCTCTACAATGAAATTTTAAATTGTTAAAGAAAGAGATTGAGGAAGACACCAGGAGATGGAAGGACCTCCCGTGTTCATGGATTGGAAGAATTAATATTGTTAAAATGAGCATCCTGCCAAAAATAGATTCGATGCAATCCCAATCAAAATCCTCGTGACATACTTCACAGAATTAGAAAAATCCATCCTTAAATTCATATGGAGGCACAAAAGACCATGGATAGCCAAAGCAACCCAGAGCACAAAGAGCAACACTGGGGGGATTACTATACCAGATTTCAAAGTATACGACAGAGGCATAGTCATAAAAACAGCATGGTACTGATGCAAAACCAGACACATAGATCAATGGAACATCATTGAAGAGCCAAGCCTGAGTACACGCAATTTCAGCCACCTGATATCTGACAAAGGTGCCAAGAACACACAATGGAGGAAAGGCAGCATCTTCAACAAATGGTGCTGGCAAAACTGGATCTCCACCTGTACAAGAATGAAACTAGATCCTTATCTTTTGCCTTGCACAAAAGTCAACTCCAAACGGATCAAAGACCTCAATGTGTAACTGGGAACCCTGAAACTATTAGAAGAAAATATTGGCAGTAACTAACAGGATATAGGTGTACGAAGGGATTTGCTAAATCAGATGTTCCTCAAGAATTGAGGTCAGCAATCAATAAGTGGGATCTCATTAAACTAAAAAGCTTCTGTACAGCAAAAGAAACAAACAAAAAAGTGAAGAGAAAACCCACAGAATGGGAAAAAAGTATGAGTGTATTGCCTGCCTGTAGGTAAGTGCACTCATGTTGTGCAATGCCCATGGAGGACAGAAGAGGCTGTCAGATCCCTGGAACTAGAGTTACCGACAGCTGTCAGCTGCCATGTGGGTGCTGGGATTCAAACCCAAGTCTTCTCCAAGAACAACCAGTGTTCTTCACTACTGAGCCCTCTCTCCAGCCCCAGATGACTAAGAAATATCTTAAAGAACATTCAACATCCTTAGTAAATAGGGAAATGCAAATTTAAACCACTTTAAGATTTCATTACCCCAATCAGACTGGCTAAGATCAAGAGAACAAATGATACCAAATATTGTCAAGGATGTGGAGAAAGGGGAACGCTCATTCATACACTGCTGGTGGAATTGCAAACTCATGCAGCCTCTATGGAAAACAGTGTGGAGGACTCTTCAAAAACTAAAAATGAATCTACCATATGACCCAGTTATATCACTCTTTGGCATATACCCAAAGGACTCATCCTATTGTAGAGACACTTGTACAACCATGTTTATTGTTGCTCTTTTCACAATAGCTAAGAAATGGAAGCAACCTAAGTGTCCCTCAACTGATGGGTGGTTAACAAAAATGTGGTATATTTACACAATGGTGTTCTAGTCAGCAGTAAAGAAAGATGATATAATGAAACCTGCAGA